CCCCCCCTGTCCCCCCCCCCCCCCCTGCCACTGCCCAAGTGACTCAAATATCACCTATTTGGATAGTTATTACTGGGATTACTTCTGCAGTAGATGATGGTGGCTGATGCTTTCTTATACATTTTACTAAAAAATAAACTGAGCAAAATTTGTCCAAAATGTGTGGAGCTACAGTTCCAATTGAAAAATTGCTTTTAAAACATTTAAAAATGGAACTGTTCTCCTATCTGTAGAGATGAAGACAAGTTAAGGAAGGCATGTATTTGTAAACATAGACATTTTCTTTCTTTTTGGTCTTCCTAATTAACCTGATAATGCCTTGGAATAGGGGAATGCGTCATGTCCCCCAAAGATAACTATAATCAAAAGATGTTCGTGCTTATTTTAAATATTCTATATTTACCTTGAGTTTTGGATAATATTATTCTTTAGTTCTAAAATTGAACCCACTTGGAACTATTATCTGGTTTGTTCTGTTCTCTGATTATTATTATTTTAAGTAAAAATCTAAGTTTTCCTGTAAAACATATAGTTTGAATACTGTTCTTGAAACTCAGAACGCTAGTCATTCCTACTTTGTGGTTTGGGAAGTGGAAAGAGAATGCTTAAGGGAAAAGAGGATGAACAATTGATTGAAAAACATCCATGAGTGACTAATGCTTTGCTTTTAAAAGGAGAAGATAGAAGCTTACTAAGTAGAATATGACAAAATCCTAAGGGAATATTACTTTTCATTATTGAGGTTCTACAACAGTGGTTCCCAGCCTCTTCATTTGGGTGCCCCTGTAAGTGTTACAAGCCCAAATGCTATACTTGAATTTCTGTGGGCTCGTGATCTATGGTTTGGAGGACTGTTGTACTAAGATTATATTATAAAAAATTCATTTTTTAAATATGTAATTTGTTATCGCTATTGAAATAGTTGATGAGAGTCTAGCACAAGACAACCATTTTCTTAAAATAGTGGTTTTCACCATTTTAGACTCAGGACACCCATTCATAAACTTGAGGCACCCCTTTAGAAATGCCAGCTCAGATGTCAAAAATAAAGTGAATACAGAAAAATAATAGAGCATTTCTTCTGTTTCAAAGAACTCAGCCCACAACAAATCAGAATGGTTTTAATGCTATAGGTTCGTATTGGGACTCTTTGGGTTTATCTTATGAATCATGTTTGCACATCTAGCATTGCTAACATTGTATGGGACACCGTGGTGCCCCTGAAAGGATCTCAAGGTATCCCAGGGTACTGCAGCACCCTGATTGAGAATCGCTATTCTAAAATGAAGATTTAAAAAAAAAAATTTTTTTTAAAAGACACTGTCAATGGAAAAACCAGGGTCCTGTTTCCTCTTTTGTTGTCAAAGTTTTAAATATCAAGTGGTTACTATTTCATTGCTGACAATTAGTTATTTAATTGTGTAGTAGGTTGTACATTTTGTTTTGTCTTGCTACATACTGCAAGTAAGTAATATTAAACCTATTCTTTAGCTTGTGGCAGTCAATTTTTGAAGGCTGTTCCCTTCATTCCCAATTTCCCCCCAGCCCTGGGTTGGACCTCTGGCTGTGGTTGAGAAGTTGCTTGCTTGTAGCTTCTTTGAAATTGGGTTAGCCATGTTGGTATTTGTGTGGATGGTAACCATTGCATGTTTGTTGTTGGTTTTGGGTTTTTTTATGTTGGATGCATAGTTATATTGCCACATAGAAGGATTTTCAGCTGAATCTTCACGAAACCTATGTTCTGCTGTGCTACAGTGCACTCATAATTTTGAATGCAAAAAATCTACCCTGGACTTCAGTTTCAGCAGAGCTTTCAAAATAGCTACGTGTTAAACCAATGATAAATGTTTAGTTCTTAAATCTTGTTCTACTTTTGAATGGGAATTTGTTTTTAAAAGTGGGTATCTTTAACTTTTAGGTGCTGGAGATCAGAACTTATTTACATCCGTATACCCCATGCTTTCTCAGCAGCTGCCAAGAGATCCCATGGAATGGAGGAGGTAGAGTATTTTTTTTCTTTTTTTTTTTTTAATATAGCAACATATTTTGATTGTCATTGGATTTAAAGTGTGATATTGATGTAATTGCATGTCATAACAGGTTCTTGCTGTGAATTGAATTGGATGTGGAAGCTGAGTGGCAAAGAGATGTCAGCTGAAGTGTTTCCAGCTCCTTTTCTTGATGAGTTCTTGAGCTGACTTTTGGCATATCAGACTGTAGCAAGCTTAGTCAAGATTTTTGAGTTTCCAAAAAATAACAACTAAACTTGTCTTTCTTTGCCAACATACATTTTCATCCTGTCACTTTTTCTTATAATTTTTCTGCTTATTTCTTAGTCACTAATTTCAATTCTTTTAAAACTCTACAGGTCTTACGGCCGTGCTCCTAAGATGATTCATTTAGAATCTAATTTTGTTCAATTTAAAGAAGAGCTGCTACCCAAAGAAGGGAATAAGGCTCTTTTGACCTTTCCCTTTCTTCATATTTACTGGACAGAATGTTGTGTAAGTATTAGGAAAACATTTAAGTATGAAAAATGGGTAGTGGGCATGTCTGGGATTGGAGGCAAACTAAGAGAGTTACCATTTATTCTGCCATATCCCAATTAAATAGCACAGAATATTTGGAGATGTTTCCTATGGCATCTCTAAACCAATGCTGCTGGATGCCAGGGAGGATAATGAACAGGGGATAAGTTGCTCTAGATATACTCAGTGTAATGCTCTACCTCTAAAGCATCCACTCCTACCACTGTTAGAGACAGGATGTCAGACTAGATGGACAATTGGTCTGACCCATTATGGCACTCCTTCTGTTAATAGTTTTGATATTTGGGGTGGGTTTCTCCCACATGCTCTCCTTTTTATATTCATATTTGCTTTGTTTCTTACTACAAGGGTCACTGGAGACTGAGGGGTTAACTTGCTTCACTATAATAGGCAAGTTAGATGACACTGGAAAGGATGCAGCTTTAGGCCTTACTGATATTCTCAGTCACCAGGACCTTATGATATTTTATTGCACTTTTTGGGAAGGAACAAAGTGAAATGATATGCAGCACACCGAGCAGATTAGTAAATCAATGACACTGTGAGTATTTTTAAATTTAAAGAAGTGACAGAAAATCTGAAAATTTAGACCTGATAGAAGAACTGAAGAAGCACAACAACAAAATGCAAGTTGTTAATTATACATCATCAAGATAAAAAGGTTAACACATTACTAAGCATTTAGAGTTCTTGGAGGGTAAAAACATGTGTTAACTACACTTTTATTTAAAGCTTTAGATAGATTTCATTAGCATTATATTTTAACATAACATGGTTTAATGTTCAAAAGTTCTCAATTAAAAATTAAGTATTAATGAACGGTTACACTCACAACTAGAATTTAATAATGAGGTATCTATAGTGTTCCGTGTTCTCGGTTTTTATTTTAAAAACATCTGGGAATTTATAATTCTGTGTCATCCTCGAATTTGGACAGAGTGTTCTCCACGTCCTTACTGAAGTCACTAATGAAGACATTGAACAGCACTGGTCCAAGGACTGAACCTTGGGGAGCTCCACAGCCTGTATGTCTCTTTCATTCAAAACATAAAAACTGAGATGAAATTAGGATAACAGGAAGAAAAGGGGAAAAAAATTGGTTTAAATAAGGGGAAAAATTGGCAGTGAGAGAGGGAGTAAGGCTGGGCACGCACCCCTCGGAAAGAGCCCTGTACAGCCCCCCAACCCCAGCCCTCTTGAGCAATGCATGCTCCAGATCTGCGTGTGGGATGAGATCAGGCTGCTGCCTGCCCCAAGCACCAGGAAATGCCCGGTGCCACTGCCATTCGCAGCCAGCAGTGGCAGTAGGCTGCAGCGAGAACAGGCTGCCAAGCGCTGGGAAGAACCCAGTGCCTCCGCTGGCTCCGGCTGGCAGCAGCAGGCTGCTTTTGTCCTATGCGCAGATCCAAGGACACGCCCCCCCCCTACCCCTGCAGCCATTGACAGCTGCCTCTGCTTTGCTACCTGCTGAAGCCCCTAGAGTGGCTTATGTGCTGTGCTGTGCCCCTCTCCCTGCTGCAGCAGCCTGCTGCTGGGCTGCCCTGGCATTTGTGGGGAGGAGGAAGTGGCGCATGGCCAGACACAGGCGGGGCTGGGGGGACCTGACCCTGGCACCAGCACTGGCACCTCCCACCCTGCCCAGGCTCAGAGTCGGGATCCCCGTGCCTCCAGGTGGTAGGGCCACTGAAATTGCTCCTACAGCGGGCGGGTCTGAGCTGCACCAGGGTCACAGCCGGAAGCAGGGCTAGGCTCTCCCACCTGCCTCTTTTTCCCACCCGCTGTGGGGCTTGCAGTTCCCAGCAACCGGCTCCTGGCTCTGACCCCAGTGCAGCTCAGATCCATCCACCCTTAGAGTGATTCTTGGAGTCCTGCCTGGAGTCGCTGCCTGGGGGTGCAGGGCTCTCGGATCTGGCCTCAGGCAGGGCCACAGGAATCACTCCCAGGGTGGGTGGGTCCAAGCTGCACCAGAGCCAGGGGATATGCACCCCACGGCAGCAGCTCCAGTCACCCCCCTGGCCCCCCGCCACCACCACCACTTCCCCCACCTCCCCCCCGCCCCCTGGGGTCGGAAACCTGTGGCTCAGGTAATGGGCACTTTTAGTTTGCCAGCTCCACCCATTTTTCAGTTCAAATCCGTGTTAACCAACATGTGTGGAATGGGCCATTCAGACAAGGTTCCTTGGGTGAATTTGATATCTTTTATTAGACCAACAATGGGCCATTCCCCAGTCATGCCCGTTAACAGGGATTTGAACTGAAAAATGGGTGTAAATTGGTAATAACCGAATGACTACAATTTTATCAGTAAAATTTGGTAAAAACTGAACATGCGGAATGCTGGATATCTAGTATGTCATTACTGGAAGCAGTCTTAGTTTGATGATTTGGAGGTGGAAAGCTGATTTGGTGAGAGATTCAATGGCATTGATTGACTCAATAAAAATTTAAAGTTGTGTGAATGGCACCAATTTTTTAAAAAAGTATTTCTGTTAATTAAACATTACATTATTCTGGCATTACTGCTACAATGATCTTATTTGATTTTCATGAACATATGAGCAATCAAGTTTTTACTTGCATGAAAAATAAATTTGAAACTTGTCTGCTTATTTGCCCTGCTGTGCTTTTATAATAAAGTTGTTTGACCCATTAGGACAGGGCTTTTTCTAAACCTCATTCCAGAGAACTAGCACGTGGGAAGCTAAAGTGTACAGGGATCTCATGGCTTCTTTGGCAAAAGCACAGTGCACGTGCACGCTATTATGTTATGCAGATGTAATACAATGGCAGTTTCACTCCACTTAACCAATACATCTTAGAAAAATTTGGCCTTTTTAAGTCTCCTGTTTTAGTAAAGGTCAGCATGTCAAAAAGGGAAAGATTTAAAATTCCCTAATGCACTTTATCTGCTATCTCTTGCTGAATGAGAGCTGTCTTTGTTTTTTTTTTAAGTTCTCTTTTCTCTCTCTCTCTCTCTCTCCCCTCCACCCCCCCAAACTCTAATGATTTTTATACCTAAAAACCATAATTTCAGGCAGCACTGGGAAATGTAAATGTCACAGTTAGTGGTGTATGAGAACCAGCTAATTAACTTTTCAAGGTTCGTTGTCCAAGTTGAAGCAAAATGGCACATACAAAAAACAAAACCCAAAACTGTTTTAAGAGACACTTTCATTTCATTACTTTAAAATATTGCTGTTAGCAAGAACAAAGACTTATTTTAATATCCTGTCCAACTTCTATTGGTAATTAAAATCTTACTGTTACTAATTTCATTTGGTATAATTGATTTCTTTTTTTTCACTGTTATAACAAAATGTGTCTTTCAGTCCTGTCCAGACTTTGACTTTTGATTTGGTGATTCATGATTTTATAATCTCAGGACACAGAAGTATACAAAGCTACTGTAAAGGATGACATCACCAAGTGGCAGAATGTTCTAAAAGCGCACAGTTCTGTGGACTGGCTAATTGTGGTAGTTGAGAGTGATGCCAAGAAAAAGAACAAAACCAACATACTCCCCCGGACATCAATTGTAGATAAAATAAGAAATGACTTCTGTAACAAGCAGAGTGACAGGTAAGAATTTTTAAAATAATATTTTAAACTATTTTCTGGTATAATCAATAAAGAAAAGAGCTCAACTTACCTTTTTCCTGGATTAGTGGTAGCTTTGGGAGTATCTTGAAGGAAGGTAAAAAGCTTTAAAGCAAACTGAAGTAATCTTAGGGACACTGAGTCAGGATGAATGAAGTGACCAAAAACAGTTATCAAAACTTCATCTGGAAAAACTAAGAACTTGCTTATACTGCTCACCAAAATAATAAAATCAGTTTATAAGATGAAAGGCTTAATTTTTACCACTGTTTTTATGCAAGAATATGATTTACTTCTCCCAGTGTTGCACTGCATTAAAGCCCAGTTCTACAGCTGTGTTTATTTCAAGAAAGATAGAGTTGAAAAGTGTGAATTTTTCCTGACTTTTTTTCCTGCAGTGACTGAGAAAGTAGAAGTCAAGGATATAGCCTAATCACAGTTTCAAGCCAGCTTTTAATAAGATGAGTTAACTTCCTTTTTCCCCTCCTTCCAGAATATTTCATTGGACCTGTTATTAATACTGTGCCTTTTTAATGTTTTCCATTATTTTGAGAGGTTAAGTGGAAGAGCTGTCAGCATTTATAATATTTGAAGCTCAAGGGGTAAATCCAGGGAATCCCAGATCATAAATCTAAACTGACAGTAACTGGCAAGCTGGTGTATTACAGCATGCTGTATGCTGTTAGTGCACAAAAGGTTTTGTGTTTGGATAGCGTCAGTATAGTACAGGGTGATTTCAGCAAGCAGTTGGAATCAGACGTAACCAGTATTGTTCAATAAGTTTTTTCTTTAAAAATGTTACATCAGAATAACATTGGTTTATTTTATTTTATTTATTTATTTTTTAATTGAGGATTGTGTTTGGTTTGAGCAAGGGATTTCCATGTTGTTGGCAGAGTAGTTATTTGGGAATAGTGCTAAATTGCAGAGAGAATTTGTGGTGACAAAAAAGAGAGCTGCATGTCATTCTGGTGAATATTTCCCGTCTGTGTAGTAATTTTTTAAAGAATCATAAGAAGTCCCTCTATACTGGATGCTTGAAATAAGTTGGAGCCTAGTGCAAATCTATTATGGGGAATAATTCTGCAAGGGATGGACCTAAGATTTTGGATAAGCATTTATCAGGCATGATCTAGAAGTAGTAATGTCTGGAGTGGGCAGTGAAGAGCAGCAATTGGAAGCCCAGGAGGCAGGCAGGCAGCCTGCCACCCCTTCCCTCTTGCGCCAGGCTTACTGGGAAATCACAAGAAGAGTTTTGCAGCCCAGAGCAAATGGGAATCGGAGATGGCCATGCTCAGCAGCAGGAGAATGAGAAGCAGAGCTCTGCAACCAGTTTAGTTATGAAAGAAGATTAAAGGAGCTGGGATAAATGTATGGAGAGGATAGGATGACAGGAAAAGGAGTTCTGGCTCTCCAGTTAGCGTGTGTGGAGTTGTGTTTGCAGTTCCCAAATTGAATGGACAGTGTTCGGCGTTTCCAAGGCTTCTGGGCTTTGCTGGTTGCCTCATGGAACCAGGAAAGAATCTCTTTCCCCTGTTGCTACAGAAGTTGATATTTTTCCACCTTCCTCAGAGGCGTTGGGTATTGGCTGTAGCCGAGGCTAGGGATTTTAACCAGGATTTGCCTGTGCTCCTGCTTAGACTTAAAGAACCCAGAGGTTCCTGGTTAGAGGGTTGTGTCCCAGAGTTAGACTGATTGCGATGGAAGGAATCTTGCCCATGATCAGATCAGCATGTACTGGATGGGGGAAAGCGAGGCAAGTGTTTCCTCTATAGCAGGGGGCCTGGTCCTCTTCCCTGGTTTTCTCAAGTGTATTTTAACAAACACTTCCTGTCTTTGTCCTGTGTTTGTAGCAGAACATTTATAGTGCTCTTGTCCTCCTGATTTACTTGTGGCAGGTTAAGGGTTCTTGGCAGTTATGGACATTGTCTGGTAATTGTGACACAGGGTTGTTTATGTAGATTTAAGAATAGATTTGACAAATAGTTATATATGATAGTGTAGTTAGGGATAATGCTGTAAGTGTGGGGATGGTATTGATGATCTCCTGGGGTCCCTTCTATCATCATAGAGAGTTAGGAGTAGATGTTGTCCATAATTCTTACCTTTTGTTGACAGTGTTCACAATATATTTATCTGAAGGATATAAACATATTTGTGTCTGCATGTTGCATTTTATCTTCCAAAAACAGTTTTTTATCAATCTCTTTACAGATGTGTGGTACTATCTGATCCCTTGAAAGACTCTTCCCGTTCTCAGGAATCCTGGAACGCCTTCCTGACAAAACTCAGGACATTGCTTCTTATGTCTTTTACCAAAAACCTAGGCAAGTTTGAAGATGATATGAGAACTTTGAGAGAAAAAAGGACTGAACCAGGGTGGAGCTTTTGCGAGTATTTCATGGTCCAGGTATGGACCCTTTTTTAAAGAAAGAGTATGAAAAGATTTTAGCTTTGTTTTAGTCCTTCGAAGGTATTCTTGTTGCCTGTATGTCCTCAGATCGTTTATCTCCCTAAAAAGTTATGAAGATTTATGTTAAGGAAATGGTTCCATTTTGGTTGGAGTTGTGTGTGTGTGTGGTATTCTGCTAACCTGCAAGATCTGCTCAGACTTCTCTATGTGCCTTAAGACCCTCAATGAATATGCTGTTGTAAATTTTAGTTGCGAGTTTATAGTTACCCTATAAATTCTCTGAGCAGTTACAAGTAAGTGCTAGAATTTTGGAAAAGGATATGAATATTTCATAAGAGGCTGAAGTCATCCTCTAAGTGCAGAATGGAATCTGAACTGTGGAGTGGCAATTGGTGCCTCCATAAATAGATGAATAAATAACCATATTTACTCAAATACAAGGTGAAGTTGTTGCATGTCCCTCTTCCCCCCCCCCCCCCGC